TGATTCTTTGGGACTCTGCAGGACTCTTTCTACGAAAGATACCAGGAGGCATATACATTCAAGCACGGGACTGGCGTTAACAACAGCGCTGTTGACATTATTAATCCAAAACTCCGTTTCCCAAGTGAATACCGACGCAAAGAACTGTTCCAAATGTTCGGCATTCTCACCGCTTTCAACGACTATGGAATCATTATCATCCTTAAGTATTGCGACCGGGTCATTGTTTCCAATCGACTGCTAATATATTGGAGTCAGATCTTGGACTTTTATTCAGAATGTCGGATAATGTTGGATTAAAAGTATTTCCTTAGGCAGAATAGCATTGCCGACAAAGACAAGGGAAACTGGAGTGGCCATTTCTGGCTTATTAGCCGTCGCTAGCCAGTCATACCCAACCCCGAAGTGTGAAACACCCGAAGCTTGAACTCGCGACCTGTTAGCTAGAAGTTCACGCCTCTAACCACTGGGCCACGAGCCCGTTGCCCTATCGGTTTCGATCGGGAATATACAGTGCTATTGTCGGCAATGCTATTCTGTCTATATCATGCGCCGCTGTGCGGCTGCTGGTTGGGCTCGAGAGAGAGCCCGTAAGGCACAACGGAACGAGTGATTTGAGAGAAGTGAGTGAGTGAGAGAAGTCTTTCGCGAAGGGTAGGACCGGGCAATTGGTTCTCTGGTACTCTCTAGATCTCATTGGTGTTTTTACATTCTCTGCCAGCAGATGGAAGCTGGTACACCGTCAACCGTCAGATCTTCCCATTCTATTACAGGTGTGTTGAAATCTCCAGCAATGAGGACTCCTTGGTGGCTAGCTACTTTCTTGACCAAATCGAGAAACTGCTTATCAGCCGTACTCGGAAGATTTAGTGATCTGTCAACCGTCGTTTTGTGAATCACTTCTCTTTATCTTTATCCAGACGGATTTATACTCAAAAGGGAGGGTGCGCACTCGTTTAACTGTCTAAATTCATGTTCTTACATACACAACTACCCAACCAGCCTGTCTATTTTGACGGTCTCTGAGAAGGAGTTGGTACCCCTGTATGGAAACCTCGGTATCCCCTGTTTCGGCTTTGAACCGCGTTTTCGTTAAAGCAACGACAGTGGGGTTTCGTTCTGACCTCTGGACGTGTATACTTTACTCGTTCAGTATTTTTGAGATTGCTCTTGCCCTGTCTGAACTTCTTAAGGACTTCCGCGTTGACCCCTCTCCATTTCCTCCCATCCGCGGTCGAAAAACCCCGCTGAAATAAAAACTGCTGGGTGGACATTTCGGATTGCGGATTCTTTGCTCAGCAATGGCTGCGTTTGTTCTTCATCCCGGAAGACAATTTCAGCGGTTTCGGTTGGTGTGACTCTTTCTTTGAGTCTTTAATTCGGTGACTTTCTCGTCTCCTTTTACGAGGGATTTGAAATATTGACAGAATATTTTCATGTCATGATTTATTCTGTCCTTCGGAATGTCGGAAACAGACTTATCCACACCCTCTATGACAATGGACCTACTGCGATCAAGTCGATGGGCCTTGTGGTTTATTATTACGTGCAGAAAATTCATTACGGATACGCCGCCTAGAGTCTTCTTCTGATAGATTGCGCAACCTCATCGGCTTTAATATGTATAACTAACTACTATATCCGTTTTAGTAGGCCTTGACTCGTTCAATAATTCATGACTACGGGAAAGTTTGGTGTGACGCTGCCAACCTATGGTTCCGTGTTTACTAAGGCTTCTTGGTCATTCGCGGTCTTCGTCAGCACGGTTTTTACTTGCAGTGTACGTAACGCCTGTTTTCTAACCTAACCTTCTTTCTTTTCCCGATGCGCTGAGACACTTTTTTGTTCTTTGAGATCACGTCTGTCCGCACTTTTCTCTCACTAGACACTGATTCTCATTCACGCTGAGCTCCATAGACGATTCGTTTTCTTTCTCATCGGTTAAAACAGCTGAGGAAACCATGTTTGCTTAAGTTCTTTCTTTTTTCTGGATTTATGGTGCCACCAATTCCCTCTCTCTGGGTAAATAGCGGCTGAGATTTCTCCAATTCCCCGACTGCACTCTAGGCCCTCTGTCTTCTTCTCCATTTTAAAACTTTTTTGAGGAGTTTGAAACATGCCGTACGGGCTTAGCCCGCGTGTTTCACATCCGTTTGCCGGAAAGTGATTGGGTAGCAGAATATACATAGTTTTAGTCATTTTTACTAGAACTAGAACCCGCAGTAGACGAGCCCCAATCATCTACCATACGGAACCGGTGGTAACTGGGGGTTTAACGCTAACGCCTAGACATAACCCCTGACCCTAACCGCTAACCCTTTTTCTGAGTCCTAACCCCAACCCCTGACACTACCCCCTAAACCTAACCCATGACAGGTGTGGCTGTGAAATAAGATCGTTCCCTAATGTTTATTCCCTTATTTATTTCAGCCCATCCAGGGCGCGTCGACAGTTTACGGGCAACTTCCTCGGTTAAGCCACAGCGATGCTGAGGTTGGATTCTGACTAACGGCAGATTTTTGACTCCCACTATGAACTGAAAGAACGCGGAACGTATTCACAAGTAAGGGACAACGTTTATCAACCGGATAAACTGTATGGAATAACTAGCAGAACGACTCTGTCGTCTTTAGATTTGGAGAAGCCCTTTGAGATATTGACAAAGAAGCGCTCGGAAGGGGATAAGTTCTTTTTGTTAAAATGCCGTTTTAAATTTATGGGGATGAAGATTGTGTTGGCTTAAATTCCATTCTTACAAACAGCAAGATGTAAGAGCGACCAGAGGACCGAAATCCTAAAGAAAGTTAATTCTTTGGTAGTCGGGAGTTTGAAACCCGATGTCGACTTTGAAAAGATCTGATGCTCGCATGTATTAAGTGGATGACTGCTAACATCAGGTAAGCAAACGTAAGAAATCTGAGTAATGTGTAGGGCCCACAGGATTAGTGGAATTTACTTACTGACGTTTCATAGAGCTTTGCCGGCTCTCCATTATCAAAGCGTTTTGTGCAAAAAATCGACAAGAATTTTGACTAAACGGCCGAATTAGTTGGGTGTCCTTGTGCGCGGGTGTGCAACTGGACAACTGCAAACTATCGTTTACAGGAGACCCACCTCAATGGGGGTCGGTTGCACCTGTGCTCTCCTTTTGGGTGAATTAGTCTACAGGCCATGTTTCCTCGGTATTCTTGAACTCCGTGTGGCGATCTTGTCCTGGTTCTGGCGTATGTTGTGACGGAGGACTTTATAGGCCGTGGTGCAAACTATATATCTCTTGATGGAGTTGGCATCTGAATGCCAAGTCTCAAGTGGAAGAAATTCTCTCCTTGAGGTACCCCAGCCTAAGACGGCTGCACCTTGGAAGTCGAAACTCTGGCCAGTTTCATCGTTGTGAGTCGTAAGCCGTGAGTTCGGGTCTGGTCTCCGAGTGGTCAATCTGTGCCCATAAATTTATGCTTGATGGTCAAACATTTACATGATATCAATGACTGGCATAACTGCTATGTAACTATCTGCATGTTTTTTTCAAACATCTATCTGTAAATAGGGTCTTCCAAGGCTCTGCCTCTATGCCTCATACATACAAAATTATAGGTGGACCAGCAATTTCAGTCCTATTTCCCCAACGTATTTGCAGTCTCCATTGCTACAACGTATTTGATAGACAACCGCTGAGGTTTCAGTGGGTGGCAGTGTGTCTTTGGCTTGCATGAAACGGCAACGAATTGTTGCCTGGAGTCGATTGCCAATGCCCAACTTGGCGGATTGTAACAGTCGTAAAACCGCCTCGAAAACTCCTATAATATAAGGAATATACCTCCCAAGTTAGGGCTGCTCTTCTTTTGGCCGTCGCCTGTTCACTTGGCGCTTACTTTGTTGATATCAAATCCATCAAGAGGTATCTATAACTTCCTTCGGCCTACAAGATTCTACGTCATGACATACGTCATGACAAGGACGAGACGGTCCCACGGAGCTTAAAAGTACCGCGCAAACACGACCCGTCGACTAATTCACCCAGAAGAGAAGCACAACTGCAACTAAGCCCCACTGAGGTGAGAACACACAACGCAGGAGGCCGGCGACACTCACAGACGACAGTTGGAAGGTCACGGCAGCGAAAGACGAAAAACTCGATCGGACCCGGCCAACTAACTCGGATATTTATTCAAAATTCTAGTCAATCTTTTGCAAAAAACGCTTTGATAATGGAGAGCCGGCCAAGCCCTTTGAAACGCTGTCAATCAATTCTACAGATCCGGTGAGCCAATCACATTTCTCATAATAATAGAATGATTATTTTCAACATATTACTGAAGCTATAACTCAGATAGACGGGGGAGATTACATGACGAAAATCGCGTTTCTTCGAATGAAGATGATAGCGGAAAGCTGTTGGCATTGTCCTGAGCAAGTCGAAAAACAAAAAATTGACTAGTCAACATTCATGTTGAAAAAGAGTGCAGAACGTGCAGATTACAGTGGGAAAACTTGCAAGTGAAGGCAAAATGGCAAATAATGCCGTATAATCTAATACTGTATAATCTAATGAATGCGGAAAAAGGAGCGGCGGGTTAAGAAGCAGTAACGGACGGGAGCAATAAAACATGATGCAGCTTTAGAGACCTTTGCCAACTAACAATATATTTCAAGTAATGCCATTAACAAACCAACAACGGCAGGCACAAACTGAGAGAAATCAATGTAATCGGAGGAGAACCGGTGCTTTCTACGTGGTATGGTCGCTGACGCCATGCCATTCCTACACTCAGGCCTATCTACACACACTATGTATGCATAGTAGAAAGTAGAGTGAAGAAGCTGGTGCAGTTGACTGGGGCCTCCGTGGTCGGCGGTAGGGTAGTGAGCGTGGACGTTGGCGTCGGGGTCGGCGACAGCGCTAGTGCCAATGCCAATGCCAGCACAGCCGCCAGGGCATCCGTCAATCAGCCGAAGTTGCAGTGGCAACCGCAGTCGCAGCCGCAGTCTGACACTTCAGCCTAAGTGCTGGCAGTGGCTACGACTGCAACAACGCCTACGGCTGTGCTGTTTAGTGGAGGTGGGTGGACTATGCAGAATATGCTGTAGCCGTGAGCCCAGCCTGCTTGTCGGTAGCGGAGGTGTTGATGGCGGTCGGTTACGTGCCAGGTTGTAGGCATAACGGCCCATAACAAGAAGGAGGGAGAGATGATTGTGAGGAGGATGAGGAGCAGGAGGAGGAGGAGGAGCAGGAGGTTGAGGAGGAGGAGGAGGAGGAGGAGGAGGAGGAGGAGGAGTGGGTGGTGGTGTTGTTGGTGCTGGTGTTTGTGGTGGTGTGCGTGGTGGTTGTGGAGCATGAGCAGGGTCAGGGGGAAGATGAGTAGTAGTAGGATGATGGGAAGAAGTAGAAGGAGGACGATTACGAGTACTAGTAGGACGGTGTGTCTATTTTGGCGTAAGTAGAGGTGGAGGTGGATGTGGAGTATGAGGAGGTGGAGGAGGAGGAGGAGGAGGAGGAGGATGCAGGAGGTTTGCGTGTCTGCGTCATGGCAGTGTGGCATGAGTGGTGTGCTGCAAGTAATGTATTGAGCGAGTGATTGTGTGAGAGAGTGAGCGAGTGAGTGTGTGTGTGCAGTGGGCATGTGGGCAGGCGGTCAGCGTGCATGCAGGCAGGCAGGCAGGCAGGCAGGCAGGAACATATGTAGGTAGGCCGGTAGCAGGAAGGTAGACAGGAAGGCAGCAGTGCAGGCATAGAGGCAGGTAGGAGGTAGCAGGCAGCAGGAAGGCTAAAATGCGTGAGTATGTGGTGCGCCCTCGGTCGCTGTTGATGGCGGTGTTTGTGGGTGTGAATTGGAAAAAGAGAGATGTCAGCAACACCCGGTATTCCCAGCCGGTCACCCATGCAAGTACTAACCGGGCCCAACGTAGCTTAACTTCGGTGATCGGACGAGAACCGGTGCTTTCTACGTGGTATGGTCGCTGACGCGATGCCATTCCTGCACTCAGGCCTATCTACACACACTATGTATGCATAGTTGACATTAGAGTGAAGAAGCTAGTGCAGTTGACAAAGGCCTCCGTCGTCGCCGGTATGGCAGTGAGCGTGGACGTTGGCGTCGGCGTCGAAGACAGCGCCAGTGACAATGCCAATGCCACCACAGCCGCAAGGGCATCCGTCAATCAGCCGAAGATGCAGTGACAACAGAAATCGCAGCCGCAGTCCGCAAAAACAGCCTAAGTGATGGCAGTGGCCACGACTGCGACAACGGCTACGGCTGTGCTGTTTAGTGGAGGTGGGTGGGCTATGCAGAATATGCTGTAGCCGTGAGCCCAGCCTGCTTGTCGGAAGCGGAGGTGTTGATTGCGGATGGTTACGTGCCAGGTTGTCGGAATTACGGCCCATAATAAGAATGAGGGAGAGATGATTGTGAGGAGGATGAGG